GCGTTGCTTCTGTGCGAGGAGGGCCTGCCGCAACAGCAGCAGCCGCAACAGCAGCAGCCGCCGCCGCAGCAGCAGCAGCAGCAGCAGCAGCAGCAGCAGCAGCAGCAGCAGCAGCAGCGCGACGCGGCGGCCCAGGGCGTCGCAGCACCCCGGGGGACTCTGTCTGACCTTGTCGCGGCGGCAGAGGGCGCCGAGGCAGGGGTTACGCACGGCCGCGGCGGCGTCGAACCAACGGCTGTGGAGGGCGCGGAGGTGGGAATGGGGCGGGCCGAGTCGTTTGACTTGATGCTGCTCGCTGCTGCGGCGGCAGAGGGGACACCTCCGGCCAAGCAGCAGCACCAGCGGCCCGCGCAGCCATCCGCGCTGCCCGAGGCCGCGGCCGGCGTCGCGCCTCTGCGCTCCGGCCAGCAGCAGCGTGTGCGGGGCGCGGAGAGGCAGTGTGGGCTTGGAGCGGCCGCAGGCGCGCCAGCGGCGCCGACGGTGCGCCTGGGGCCTTTGACGTGCCTGCATGTGCACGTGACAAACGGTAAGCAGCAGCAGCAGCAGCAGCAGCAGCAGCATCAGGCGCACCAGCAGCAGCCGGCGGCGCTGCGGCAGGACGTCCCTGCTCCAGCTGCGGGGCATGCGACGCCCGCGCAGCGGCGCATGCACCCTGGCCAGCAGCTGCACCAGCTGCAGCACCAGCAGCAGCTGCAGCAGCAGATACTCCGGGGCCCCCCCAGCTCAGGCGGCCGCGGTGCGGTCGCAGGCAACGCCCTGCCCTCACCCGTGCTGGCCCGCGCGCACGTGCACGCGGGCCCGCGGCGGCGGTCGGTCGACAGCAGCAGCGGGCCGCCGTCGCCGGCGGACGCGCCGGCGCCGGCCCTCGAGCCGGCGCCCCGGCCGCGGCAGGCGCAGCGGCGCGGGTGGGAGGCTGAGGGGCGGGAGCCCTCTCAGGAGGCGCAGCGGCATTGGCGCAAGGCTGGCAGCGTGGGCAGCGGCGCGCCGGGCTGCGTCCCCTATGACCCCCAGCTGGTCCCGAGCCTTTTCAAGGCGCCGCTGCCTAAGGCACCGGTGGTGGCGGCACAGCAGCAGCAGCCGCCGCAGCAGCCGCCGCCGCCGCCGCCGCCGCCGCAGCAGCAGCAGCACCAGCAGGCAGTTGAAACGCCTCTCGCACGTGCTGCGGCCAGCGCAATCGCCACTGCTGCCGCCAGCGTTGCTGCGTCCGCGCCGCCGCCGCCGCCGCCGCTGCCCATCGCGGGGCTGTCCGCGCCGCCGGCGGCGTCGGCGGAGCAGTGCTGGCGGCTGGCGCTGTCGCAGCCTTGGATTATTGGCATGGAGGTGCAGAGGGCCAACGCGGTGCTGCAGTCGGCCCGCGAGGCCGCAGTGGCGGCGGCGGCCACGCAGCAGCGGCTGCCGCAGCAGGCTGCGGGCGTCGGCGCCGCGGCGGGCGGGGCGAAGCGCTCGGCGGCGGCGGCGGGGCTTGGGGGCTTCGCAAGGGGGGGCAGGAAGGCCGTGAGGTGGGCCTGACACCACCTGCCTGAACGTGCGCGTCCACAGCCAATGGTTTTCAGTCGTCATTCACTGTCTGCAACGAACTGGATCACAAACATTGCAGGCCGCACCCACAGGCAGGGAGCACGCAGCGGCAGGTTGTGTGCACTGACTCGGCAGTCCTGCAGCCGGGCGGCTGCTCCTAGCACTGAACTCTCTCCGCGTGGCGTCTCCTTTGTCAAGGCGATCTCATTTTGCTTTGTGCCGATGTAACCCTTTTTGAGTGTTTGTGCGCACCACCGGGGCCTTTCCTGCGTTGCAACCTGCCAGATGATGGTGCATCGTGCTGGTTTTGGTTTGAGCCTGCCATGCCACCCTTGCTGTAGGGGCCATGCAATGTAAGTATATGGCTGTTGTCAGAATCCTGGGGTCATTCTGACTAGTTGACAACACACGACATGGTGCTGGTATTACACTGTTTCTAGGCCAGCAAACAAACCTCAAAAAGAAATGAACTTCGCGGCAGCGGCAGCGCGGCCCGACGACGGCCGCTGCAGCCGCAAAGCGCTCGCAGCAAAACAGCAAAACGGCGATTGGGGTTTGCAAAAACGCGAGTGCGGAGCGCGGGAATGCCGCGCATGATAGGTCGAAAACGGCTTGCTGCCACGGTCCGAGTGCACCGCCGCCAGCGAGGCGTTCCTGCCCCCTTCCCTACCAGCCTCCCGGGGCTGAGCGCTGCTGCGGCGGCGGCAGCACAGGTGACAGAATCGGCAGCAGGCAGGTGCAGGTGCAGAAGCGGGCCGCGAACGTGCGCGCGTGTGCACGCATGCATGTGTGTGCGTGCGTGTGTCACTCGTTCAGGATGCACTGCTTGATGAGGGCCATGCGGATGTAGAGGCCGTTGCGGGCCTGCCTGAAGTAGGCGCAGCGCGGGTCGTCGTCCACCTCGGTGGCGATCTGGGGGGCAGGGGGGAGGTCGCAGTTGTGTGCGTGTTTGGGGTGGTGGTGGTGGTGGTGTTGGTGATGTTGGTGGGA